CCGGGGGCGGCGCTCAGCACCGCGGCCGCACGGGTAGGTACCGGGGGCCGGGCCGGGCCGGGCCGGGCGGCTCCTTAGGCCCGGCTTGCTCCTTAGGCCCCGTTTGCTCCCGCCCCCTCCGGGGCGTCCGGCGGGAACCTCCTTCCCCGACCTAATGGGAAAAAAAATGCCCCACCTCTGACTGTGTGTATGTGTATATGTGTCTGTGTATATAGCTGTATTCATAGATGTGTATCTGCACATGTGTGCGCCTATATAGAAATACACTGATGCAGATATTTATTTATAACGCACACCCGTGCGGGTGAGGGCGTGTGTACAGACGAAGGCAGAGTACAGCCCAGCAGGCGCCCAGGGAGTGCCTGTGCCCTGAGCAGGGCTGCAGGTGCCAATCCCGGAGGAAAACGGCCTCGTTGGATCGTGCACGCGTGCGGGGGCTCAAGCCCCAAGGGTTCCTGCTTCTCTCTGTCTTTCCCAAGGAGATGAGGAGGTGAAACTCGCTGTGCTGTGATGAAAATGACTGTGCGTGTGCTTCTTACAGATGCGCAGATGCTGTGCTCCAGGCGCTTTGCAATCATTCAGCTTGAAGGACCTGTGATGAGTTTGAATTTTGGACCACCTTGGATTATCTGAAGGACTCCGTGTATGAGATGTCTGCACCTTCTTGAGCTTCTCTCTCTCCCATCGTGGCACCTCTGGTTAAACCTTTTGTTCAGGTACTGCTAAAACATGTCCAAGTGTTGCAAGAGGAAAACCCCTAATCTGGAAAAGGCAGAACCAATGGCTATTGAAGCCAAGTGTCTTTTGGAACAAAGTCCAGTTAAATTTATCTTAAATCTTTAGGACTCTGGGCACAACAGATGATTATATCTCATGAAGTCCCGCATCTTTAGTACTTGGCACTCATGTCACTGTCCCCTTCATGGTTGATGCCAAAAGAAAAAGCATCTCCCCATACATCATTTTGGAAACATTTCACCCCATTGCAATCTAGTAGATTTCTAGTGGTCTAGAAGAGAGTAGAGGTTTTTCCAAGTGTCAAAGTTATCTCCACACTGACTCTAGCTCTCAGCTTGTAGCATGGGAAGATAGACAGGTTTCTTTATAAGCCGTGATCCCAAAGTTGTTCAGGTAGGACAGCTCTGCCTACATAGGTCAGCCTGTCTTGGCCTTTTCATCATGTAATTACTGGTATTGTTAAAAAGAGGATAATGTTATATATTAAGTTAACAGAGATACTGTCAAGTTAGAATTCAATAACATTTACTGCAGGGAAAGCGTAAAAGATTCCTGGAGTATTAAGTGTTGTTACTACAAATGCAGCTTAAAAAATCTGGGACAAAAAAAACCAAACTAATACATCTTTTTTAATGTATAGAACTTACACATCCTTATAAAACTAATTCCCGTAAAAACCAACACAAATTGAAATGTGTAGCTAGAGATCAAAAACCTTCTGGGAGTAACAAGACTAAATTTGTAGTTAACAGGCTGTTGGTAATTTAAGGTAACAGAAAATTTTGATTAGAATTAGATTTCTGGTACTTATGATGGCTTTCTGCATCCTCTCTATAAAACGTGTTAAAAGCTGTGTTTTTCCTGACATATATGATTATTCCAAAATTAATTTAGATAGATATTTATGTATTTATATTAACTGTCAAGGGGATGTTGGCATCTCATATTAAAACCTCCATGTTCTCTGTCAGTGATGACTGAAATCCAGTGTTGTCTCAGTTCAGCCAACTTGATGGGGTTCTTCAAGGCAGGATGTTACAAACCAAGAGTCTTTCTCTTTTTTGTAAATGTTAACTTTTTTTAATCTCATCTTGTTACACGTTCAGTACAGTTACCTGTGTGATTTAACTGAAATACCCTTTCTGCTTTCACTGTTTTGTAACTTGTCTTCTGAGCAGATGTATGTGGTAAACACAACTGTCTGTTTATGCACTGTGAACTGCATGATTTGGGCTTTATTAAGGGATAACATTTGAATTTAATGCACTTCTGCATGGGCTAGTGGGTCACCGAAAGTATAGAATATGAATGAAAAGGTGAAAATATAGGGGGAAAAAAAATTCTGTATTTTCTACTTCTCAGGTGCCATATCTTTGCCTACAGACAGCTGGGAAATGTTCTCAGAGCTATTGTGCCTTTACAGAAGGCACACGTTTACTTACATATATTCTGTATGTGTAGGGCTACACATTTATTTACATATATTCATGCAATATGAAGTTAACTTTAGGTGCTCAAAAGTATTTAGAGCCTTTTATGTTTTGTTATATACATTTCTTTTATACATTTATGTATAAATGTATATACATTTATAAATTTATATCCATTATTTACATTTATTTATTATATAGCTATTGGAGTCTAGGGCTGAGTAGGATCAGACTTCTATGTTTAAAGGATATCTCTCTAAATCTTCTGTGAAATGCCTGTGGGAACCTGGACAAATCACTTGCTAAAATAGCCCATTCCACAGGTTTATATAACTAATATAACATTAAGCAGTGTACATCTGTTTGCCAGGTACTCTGTGCTGTGCCTTGATGATGGTGATGATTATGTGTTCTTCTTTACTTTTGAATTAACTTTATTTTAAAAAGGTGTAATGTGTTTGAGGTTGTTCCCTTAAAATTAGGCACTTGGAAACAGAGATTTAAGTAACTGAAGAACTCTCCTCATTCTAGAAAAAGGTCCTGAAAATATACTGGCTCTTAGGAAGTATTTCTTTGCAGAAGGGGTTCTTGGGCGTTGGAATGGGCTGCCCAGGGCAGGGGGGGGATTCCCCATCCCTGGTGGGGTTGATGAGTCAGGTTAAGCCAGCGCTGAGGGATCTGGGGGAGTTGGGAACGATCAGGGTGAGGTTTGTGGTTGGACTGGAGGAGCTTCAAGGGCTTTTCCAACCGAGATTATTTTGTAATACAGTTTCAATGCCTTTTCATTTCCTGCTCCAGACCTTACTTTATTTATGCTGACAATTCCAGAATGAGTGGAGCAGGAACATGTGACCTTTTGCATACATGCATATTATTTATGACCGCTGTGCAGAGTTTGCTCATGGCGTTTTTGCGGTCTAAAAGGAACAGTTTGCTTATTTAAAAGAATCTGATTGTATTTTTTCATAACAGATGTTTATACATTTTCTTTTTTCCCTCTTTCTGTTTTGCTTTACAAAGCAGGTTTCTTCAGAAGGCTGCATTTCATGTCCAGAGAGCATATGCCGACTCACATGTTACATCAAGCGCTCCTCTCTTCATTGTCCTGATGTTCTTTATCAGAACATGTCGTCTCACAGCTGTAGGCTCCATGTGACTGCCACACACTGCCAAAGAGGAGCTCACTAGTTCCTGCCCTGCCTGGAGACCCGTGTACATGTGCTTCCATTTGCCAGTTGAAAGTTGTTTCTTCTCAAGAAGACAGGAAGGCAAGCCTGAGGTGCTCTTTCAGAGAAGCAAATGATTTATGCCAGCCATGTCACTAGCTGAATGGGTTTCACAACCCTCTGACTCTGTGGGCTTTTGTTGGTAGTCACACTGGGATCTGTTGATCTACAACGTTAATGTTGAGCGTGTTGTGTTTTAAGGTTTTGAGGAAAATGCAGAGACGGCATAGCAGCAACACTGACAACGTTCCTCCTGAAAGGTAAATCTTTTTCCTTCTTTTTTCCTCTCCAGAGGGGAATATTCTGACTTAAGGGTATGGTGTGTTTTACAAGATGAAAGCTCAAAACTGAGAAAATAAAGTATTTCCTGTGCAGGTAGTGTGGCCAGGCTTTCTGCTCAGTATTAGAGAGTTTGGAGACAGATTTACTTCTCCCCTTCATGTCAGTTACTGACAGCAACCAGCTACAGTGTTTGAGGGTTCATGATGTGGTATGGCGCATATGGAGACAGTTGGCTTAGCATAGGCAGGGTGTTTTGGAGCTCTAGAAGAGCAATTCGTGGCAGAGCCCTGTGGGGATGCTGAGTGCTATCAATCTGAAAGGATCAATCTGTACGAACGGGGGCCCTTTATACTTCTGATATTAAAGTGTTTAAAAAGTCTGCTGGTCTGAAGCTCCCAACTGCAATGACTTAGTATTTTATAAAGAGTTTGGGTGATCTTTACATCATCCCAGAATCTGTATCTAGCTTCATGTATGTGAATATTTAGAAGTAGAATAGCTATTAATTCATTTCTGTAATTATAACATCAGCAAGGGAGGCTTGCTGCTGTTGTTGTTCTGGTACTAAACGTTCCCTTGTGCTTTCCCAGGGTTAGAGCTTGACTTTTTTTTTTTTTTTCTAAAGAAACTAATCTAATTACTCTCAGACAAAGATGGAACTAACAACTTTCATTGTTCTGGCTGAACTGAGATTGTAAGTAAAAGATCGTTACTAAATATTTCTTAGTAGTTTTGCAAATAGAGGTGGACCTTGGTGTCGTGACCACTTCTAGCATGGTATCATCCTTAGTTTCCGGGAAAAAGAAAGCCATCTTCAACTTTTTCTGCATGTTGCTGCCCAAGCCTCAGCACAGTCTGTGGGTTTTATATCAGCAGGCAAGGCTGGAGCTTGAGAGGCACACAAGATGTTGTATAGGCCTTCTCATCTGCAATGTAGAGCTCTCTCAGTCTGTACAAACTTGTAAGGTGCTTCAGGATCTGCTTGAATGGTTAAAATATGTTCATGATAGGTGTCTATTATTGAGTGCAAAAGATAAGCAGAGTAATGTCAATTGGTTTTTATATATGCTTCTGTTTTTTAACAGGGTAAGTACATATTCTCAGTAACATAGGCTGAGGGTTTTCTAACTGTAGAAGGAAATGCTCTTGCCACTGGTCTTCACTTTGTTAACTTCAGCGGACTCACAATTTCATCCTTGTTCATTTGTTTTTAAATATGCCTCTGATTAATTCCTTCCTGCTGAAAGCATGGTCATGTATCCTGGTAGTATTGTTCCAAACAATAGTTGTCTTTATCTGTAACACTGGGTTCCACCCAATTTGTTTGTTATGTTCCCAGACATAAGTACTGTCACATTATGTCCGTCTTGTGTATACATCCCTGAATTGTAATGTTAGGTATAAAATCCAAGACCTGGTTGACAAATATTTTGAACCAAAAAGAGGTGTGCAGTGTCTTGTTGACTTGATTCCTTGCTGGAGCCTGTGGAGAGACATTGGGAATGGTGTGTAGCTATAAAAAGCCTTATTAGGAGTTTACTTAGTGGCAAGTTATGCCCAGCGAGGTTTGAAGCTGTCTCCAGAGTGAGATGAAAGGCAGTGCTCTGCACCCTGTAAGATGCCTGGGGAGGCTTGTGAACCCATGGGAGAGAGAGGGTTAAGGGCCCTGTGTGTTCCTGTGTGTGCTGTCTCAGCTTGTGACCACTATTTCTAAAGTTGGAGATCTCCAAGGATTAAAATCAAGAGAGACTGAAGCTCTGCAACATGCCTTATTTGTGGGCTTTGCCTCTTGCTGAGATTTATTTATTCTTTACTCTCCTTTTTCACGTTAGAGAGGTTATTTGCTGTCTGCCAGGTGTTTACTGCCTGATGATTGTTCTATTTGTTACCATCATCTAAACTTTACATGTATTCATTTCAGTACACAGTACTGAGTTCAGGTGAAGAAATCCTATTTTCTTTTGGTATTAGGATGAAGATATTTAAGAGTTTCTTTTTGGAATCTGGCTATAATCCAACAGGCTCAGGAAAGAATCAGTGCCAGATCTAATCCTGTCCAGTGCCCGGTAATTTGGGTACATCTGTGTCCAACTTGCTGAGAATATCAATATAAAACAATTTCTCTTGACCCATGAGATCATCCTTCACTTATAATATGTGTTGGGTTAGGGACACACAAGCATCTCTTAACGCTTCTCTTCCCAGTTGACTTTGTCTCTTGGCGTTATCAGGTAGTGATCATCCCTAAATAAAACCAAAAAATTTTGGGGGTAGGACATTTCTTTGAGCTAGCTTGATTAATTTGTGTGACCTGTCTTGGTTGTGCTGTGTCAAATTACATGAGGTTTTGTATGTTTTTCTTTAAATATTAAAATCATTATAGAAGACATTGAATTTGGTATTGGATGTGTTATTTCGTTGGTTCCTCCAAAAGTAAAGGGCGTGTTTGGGAACTCTATTCCTTAGATGAAGGAGCTGGTGAATTTTGATCGGTTCTGTAGAAGTACTCTGATCTTATCTCAGGAGTCTGGTTACTGGCCTCTAGTTCTGAAACTGTGACTTTCCAAGAGTAAATAGAGGGAAGAGCATCTGTCATCTGAAGACCTAGGTATTCTGATTATGTGTGAGGAACTCTTAAATGACTACAGTCAGGATTGGGCTAAAAGACTGAGAAGTTCTGTGGCACTCATTTTTGTTTAATCACCTTTCTCTGTCCACTGCAGAAACCGGAGCCAAACAGTCAGTTCTGAAACCAGCGTGGATGAAAGCGGAGTTTTTGAAAGTCTGAAGGCTGAAGCTTCTTCACCACAACAGCTGTTCTCAGGCCTGGCAGGTATCCCGTCGGGCACCATCACAGCCACGCCGTTCCAGTCTGGTTTGGTTCTGGGCTCTTCAGCAGGAGGTGGGGAAGTATTCATTCAGATGCCAGCCCCACGGGAGGAAGGGACCAGCCGCACAGAAGGAGCCCCGTTTCACCACCGGCAGTCATCCCATCATTTCCACCATGGCCATCACAGGGGTTCATCTCTTCTGCATATGGCAGGAGGTGACCGCCATGGGCATGCTGAGGAAGGCAGTGACGACCAAGCTGGAACTGCAGCCCCAGCTCTTTCAGAGTTAAAAGCTGTGATAGGTTGGCTGCAGAAGGGACTTCCCTTCATCTTGATCCTCCTGGCTAAAGTTTGTTTCCAGCACAAGCTTGGTAAGCATCTATCCTTTTCAGATTATAAGTGTATTAGAGAGTGGTTAGGAAGCTTTATCATGCTGTGGTGTCTGGTAGGTTTATCTGCATGACAGTGTCTAGAGGTAGTCTAGCATGAAGGGGACATATTCAAATGCATGGGATAATGCATCTGATAAATTCAGCCCACTGTTCAGTCCAAGCTGTTTTCATCTGTGTCAGTCCCATCTGTTTCCTCTCCTGACCTGTGGGAGACCAGTTCTGTTCCTTTTCCTAATCTGTCCTTGACATTTCTGTAGGGGATGAGGATGTTTCCAAGGCTTCTCCCTCAGACCTCTCTCTAGGAGAAATGGGGAGAGCTTAGACTAGTGACCAGCAAAGGCTTCTGTGTAGCACAGAAGGGTTCAGGGGATAGCTGGAGGGATGGTAGTTGTGAAATCAAGCCAAACAGCGTCAGCAGTTGCGTCTTACTGTCGAGATCTTTAAAGTTCCCTAAAGAATATGTCTATCCAGGTTTCTTTAATGGTACCTGGGTATTTCAGGCCCTCAGTGGTCATGTAAAACCTATTCATCTAATCCTTCTCTTACTAATTGTATGTGTGGCATGTCTGAGGATCCTTATTCTGGGAGTAGCATACTGCAGTCATCATCACAGGGAAGCCAATAATGCTTGAGTTTAGTCCACTTACAGCTCTGCCAGTATTCCCAAAACCAGGTATTGATTCATGTCTGCAACATCTCCCTCTTTGGACCTGATATCCTGTGTGGCTTTGACAGTGTGCCTGTCCTCCATGAGCTTCTGAACTGCTATTGTATTGTCATCTAGCTGAGTTCTGTTTGCACAATGCAGCCACAGCTTGCAGCACTTCATTCTCCTTTAGCACAGAACCCGGCATTAGGATAGAGTGTCTGTATTGGGCTGAGTGGCTAGTGCTCACTGCAGTAGCTTCATTTTAATTTAGCTTGATTTTGAACTTTATATGAGTCAAGATCTCCCTTAGTCACCTGTATATTTTAATTCCCAGTGCATCCAGAATATCACCCACTCAGTTTTTTTCTAAGCTTGTGATGGTGACATCAAATGGCTTAGGACTGAAGCCTTACACACTGTGAGTGTCTTTCCCTGCAGGGATTGCCGTGTGCATTGGTATGGCCAGCACATTCGCATACGCCAACTCAGCGCTCCGAGAGCAGGTTGCTCTGAAGGTGAGTACAGCATCTGACTCTTTTATGTTCCCAGGCAGCATCGCTCTTTGTGTACAAAGCAGTGTCTGTGTTGAACTTCCTTTTACAGTGTAGGGCTGAATGCCATTATATGCATACAGATCTGTCAGAATAAAGTACCGTTCCATAATCCTCACTTCCTCTTCCTACTTCTCCCCACTGATGCTCTCCCACAGTTTCTATCCTGCTCTTTTGTGAAAGTGTGGCATAATAAAACAAAGAGAGGAAAGGTCAGGGATATTGTAATCTGCTTCTGGCTCTGCCACTCACGGGCAGTGCGTCTTCAAGCACTTCTCTGCGCCTTAGTTTCCTATTATGCACACCAGAGGTGCTGAAACCTATTTCACTAGTTAATGATGAGATTTAATTTATTAGCATTTAGATAATGTTTTGAGATGTTCGGCTGAAGGATTCTGTAGATGTATTGCTTGTTAGCATCTTTATAATGCTCTGTTGATATTATGCTTAGAATATAAAGAAACCAGCAGATCTTTTCAGGTCTTATGATCTTCAGTGTCAGCACAATACTTCAGTAGCACTAAAAGCACAAGAGTAGAATTGCTTTTTTGTAAAATTTACATGGGTGGCCCAAGTGTGTACTTATATCAACCAGCAGTGGAATAAATGCGATACAGTGCTGAATGAACAGATAAATTGCACAATCATGTAATAGATTGCTATTGCCTTGCACTTTGCACCTCTGTCTTTCCAGCAGTGTGCCCCTTAATCCGACTGCTTTAAATCTCAACCTTACATCCCTGGCTGTTGAATAGCTACAAAGAGCTGATTTCTTAATAAATCAGCTCAAAGAAAAATGCTGGCTTTTTTCCTCCGAGGAGTAAAATTTACTCTCCAAAATTACACTGGGCCAAGACCCAGGGCAAGACCTTCTGCCATCCAGCTTCCATCTCTAGTGTTCCATGTCTTCTGAAATGCAAAATTTGCACTTCTTTGACCTTTAATTATTTCTTCAATCAAAAATGCATGTTCTAGAACCTCCATGCACTCAGATAACATTCATATGTGCTGCATGTAGTGATGGGTTATATGTGATTTAGATAAGCCACCTTCTAAGTGGCTGTGGATCTATCTGTAAAACACCCCTTTGATGAAGTGTCATTCCAAACAGGTGACAGCTCAGAATTATAGGACAACATATGGAACTAACTTTTTTTTTTTTTTTAATCTGCTTGTCAGACTGTGTTTTAAATATCGGGAGAATTCAGATGTCCCAAGAAAGATCCCAGTTTTGAAAATTGAGTTCTGCAAGTAAGGCTGTCATCGTCACAAGTGTATTTCAATTAATTTCCCCGAAGTCACTTCGTTTGAAAAGGTTGGCTGAGTGAGAGCCATTTCTGCTTGTGTTTATATATGTCTTTACCTAAGAGCCTATTTCTGAGTCTTAGTCCTATGTAAATAAACTAATTACAGAACACTTAGTTATGTATTTGTGTCCCTTGGGTTCGTCTTGCATTTTTCAGCAGTCGAAAGCTCAGTGCAACACCTGAGACTTTGAATTTATCTTCTCTGCTTCTTTTTCTTACTCAGGAGAAGAGATCAGTGTTGGTTGTCTTCTGGATCCTGGCCTTTCTTACTGGAAATACCTTGTACTTGCTTTACACATTCAGCTCTCAGCAGCTGTACAACAGGTGAGCAAAATTACATTGTATAATATGTGATGGAAGCAGGTGATAATTGCAAGGGAAAAAAAGAGGGAAGCCCTGTTTTCCCCACACTTGTGGAGGAAGTGTGCATCACACTTGTGGAGGAAGTGTGCATACTTCAGGTATCTGTTGTCTTTGTTACATCTTCGTAATGCCTTTCAGTGGAGGAAAAGTATGTGTGTGTCTCATCTACCAGCTGGCTGTGCTGCTATCAATAAATGACATAACCAGGGTCTAAATGGGCCAGAGTGTGGTGATACACTACAGTGTTGCTGCTTGAAACATGTACACTTGCAATTTTCTTATGTATCAATGCAGGGTGGATACTTTTTTGTAGTGGGACTTGAGAATTTCCATCCTGACTTCTGTGACTGAACATAAAGAGCAGGTGGTGGAAGCAGATAAGAAATTGACCCACTGATTTTCCTCTTGCTATTTTTTCTTTTCAGTCTATCAAGCTTGAAGTCTATTACAGGAGATAAACTGGCGAGGAAATAGTAGTGTTTTACTTCAGTGTCCTCAGGGCTTGGAAACATTTGTATGTGAGGTAATTAAGACAGCTTTCACTTTCAAATTCTGACTAAAGTGATTCTCAAATACAGAAGAGTTAGTACCCATGGATTTGGTTCAGTACTATCCCTGCTTATTATAAAGCAAAGATTAAGTGACAGATAGGAACCAAAGATATCAAAGTTAAGCAAGGGGATGTTCATAGAATAAACAGGAAGAAATGGAGCAATATCAAACCTAGTTACTTGAGAAAGTAGGTTTTTTTATTAGTAGCTAAAACTGTGTAAATTATCTTCCCAATGAAAATTTTATTTGTCCCACTGAATGAGACTTAGAACTTCAGACTGAAAATACATCGTGCATCAGTGAGGTTATGGCTAGATGGCTCTTGGGTATGTTTTTTCTGTCATTTATTTAATTGTTTCCCACTTCTTCCCACCAATACTGTCTATTCAGTGGAAGAGTCGAGGTCTGCCCACAACCCTGGTATCCTTTGGAACTGCCCCTAATGTATTTAGGTTTGATCAGTGGCAAGCTGTGTCTGTAAATGCTTCTCGAAAAGGGAAGAGATGAGAAGGCTTGTATGTGTGGGTCCAAATGTGAGATGGCAAGCCATGGGATACTCCATGTAGGGTTTGTGGGAGAAAATGGAAGAGAAGAAACAGGTATGGCAGAAAGGAGTGAAAGCATTAAGAAGAAATGTGTTTGTACCACGGGGAAACAATGTGACTCAAAGGAGGTGGTTAAGGTTAAAAGGACTGGTTTAAAATAAGAGCTAGATCATCTAAAATAAAGGGGTTTCAGCAGACTGGGGCCATCCTACAGACTGTTTAGGGCATGTTTTTTATTAACACTGAACAGACTGGGCAGCAGCTTCACTGAAAAGCCCCATTCCTGTGAGAGTTGAAGTGGTGCCTGCTGCGTCATGCTTGGGCTAGTGTATCTGCTGCTTGCTGTGTGGGGACCTGTGGCTATTCACAAGGCAGGCTTGTGAAATTAGGAATAGCTGCTTCGGTTTTGTTTCTTTCTGGCTTATATTTCATTTCCTGATTTATTTACTATTTGCTTGTTTCTAGTGCATGAATAGTAGTAAAGTCTCTGATTCTGTTTCTGTTTTTAGGGTGTAATTTTACCTGTTGTGCTGTGCCAGTGTTGTGAGTATTTTAAATTCATGATCAGGCTTTTCATTCTGGGTTGGTTATTTTACGTTTGGTTTTGGTTTTTTTTTTGTTAAGTTTTTGCTTTCTACCATGAGGCTTTAGTAGGTGAATATCTTGAAGGCAAATCCTGGTTTTTCAGTCTGAGTAGGGTCCAGTGCTCATTGCCACTCAGGGCAGTAGCTCCTGAGCATTGCTATATGAAGTTCTGCTGTCATGAATCCCCTTCTTTAAAGAGTAAATGTTCGGCCCAATCAGTAACATTACATAAGGGGCACTACCTTTTTGGATCTTTGGTTCAGGTAAGAGTTGCTAATTAACACAGCCCAGCACTTGTTCTGCTTCAGACAGTGGCAGGCCGCTGTCAGAGCATGACACACCTGAAATTCTGACCTTTCTGCCATGTCTTGAATACAGTGCTTCCTTTGTCACCAGTTTGTTTCACAGGCACAAGTAGCTTTAGAGACTGCTGCCCCCGTGGCAAGCCCGCCTCGGAGCTTAGTGGTCTTGACCTGACCACAACTTCCCCAAGGAATCATAACTACTGCTGACTTGGACTTCAAAGGATAAGCTTTTACAATCAGATCTGATCGAGCAAGCCTGTGGGCTAAAGGCACTGTCATTAGGCCAAAGGCTCTTTCACAGTGTGAACTGCAGGTGATGGAGATTGCAGGCTTCCAAAACAGAGTTTGTACATGTTTTTGTCCTGTTTTCTGAGAGTGGGACCTCAGTAGAAATGGGCAAGAACAGACTAAGTCAAGAGGTCCACAGGAACCACAAGACTAATTTGCATGTCTTATTCCGGTTGTCCTTGAGAACTTCACTGAAGTTCAGTGGAGTTTCTAGGCTATCTCTAGTCAGCAGTGGATACAGCTGGTATCAAGAAGCTTAAGTGAAGTTCTCCTCATTTGGTACTTGAGCCTTGGTGTCATGCCTTTCAGCCTTATATTTCTGAAACCCAACCTTGAGAGGCTGGACTTCTTCGACCTGATGTGGATTGTGGGGATCGCAGACTTTGTACTGAAGTATCTCACCATTGCACTGAAATGCCTAGTTGTTGCCCTGCCTAAGATCATCCTAGCTGTCAAGTCAAAGGTAAGAGTCTCTTTCCTTGATGTACAGATATTTGTCTTTGATAATCTGATACCTTTACAATATGCTTGCATCATGAAATATGGGTGGAAGAATAAAAATAATAATAAAACTTTGACAGAAAGTCACCTGGGTAGTGAGTTTTGGTTTTTGAATCATCGCAGACCTGAGCGAAGGTTTAGTAATACCACCAAGTAATTAAAGTCCAGAGAGAGAGAGGTAAGCATTGCTTGAGAAGGAATAGGTACTAGCAGTGAGATAACGTCTTTTCTGGTTGACTTTGTTCTGAGTAATCTCTGTAAATAGATATTTCAGAATCCCAAATCTTTTATTTTAATGGAAAGAAATTGCAAGTACTTGTCTCCTTGGCTTTCCACTTCGGTCAAAAAAGTATCAGTATTAAATTGAAGCTACTGATGCCACAAGACAGCACCAGTTCTAACCACAGGTGGAGAAGTATTTTAACTAAATGGTTAACACACTTAAATGTTTATAAAATCATATGTAGACTAGGCCTAACTTTTGAAACTTTCTCACTCGATTTTCTCTCTTCAAATACCTTTTCATATTTTTTCACTCTTACAGATCTGTCATGCTGCCTCTTCCTCCACTTAGTAGTGTCTGTACTTCAGTGGCAAATGTAGCAATGTGTTTTATTTGCATTCGGTAAAGAAACTTTCTGGCAGCTGTTGGGATGAAAGGCACTATATAGATGCAAGGTATTATCATTAATTGCTGGAAGTCTCAGGCAGGGCACTTAAGGGGATATCTAGACTGGGAATAGTTTTGCTTACAAATGACATGGGTGGCAGGGGAGTTGAGCAGTTTGTTCCTGCACAGCAGGGCTATTTGAGATGGTTATTAATTTATTTCTGGCAATTGTCCAGCTCTTTTTTTCCTTCTTCTTCTATTATTATTATTTTATTTTGAGAGATTAATGTGCTAGGTCAGAGCATAATCCAGCCTGGGGAGGGAGGGAAAAGTGATGTGAATAGTCTTCCCAAGATAAATTGCAGTGTTGGAAAAGGTTCACAGCCTTTGCTTGCTTGTCTGAGAGCTATCCCAAGTACTCATTAATCCTTGTCGGGAGAGAAGAAAGAGAAGGGGTCTTTATTTGCAGCTACAGTGGGAGGCTGGTAAGATCACATCTGTCAAGGGCCTATAATGACTCAGAGCACAGATGCTTCATTTTTAATACCTTTTTCTGGATAGCAATATTTCTCACTTTTTTTAAGTCCCTTTTTGTCTTAGGATGTTGTTGATGGTCTCACTGTCCCTTGACATCTGAGACTGCTGTTACCTACCACTATGGATCTGGATTTATTTTTATCCCCCTCTCTACACTGCATCCATTAAGCCAACCAGGGATGAGATCTGGTGTAACAAATTAAGCAAGATCAAACTGGGATGGGAGAGCTCCAAGAGAGCCCCAGGATGCCATAGAAATTGTAATTGGTAACCACATAGCTGAGCTCTGTTCCTGAGCCTGATGATCCAGCTTACTTTTACAGGCCAGCACAATGCTACACATCTTTTTCAGATGAGTTTTTGCAAATGGAAGCTTTTTCAGAATTAGAACAGTTCTATTGCACTTTAGGCACATTAACTTTGACTAAATTCTTATCTTAATTTGCTATCTTATCTGCTGTCTTAATACTGGCCAGATACAAAGTTATTCTTTTCCTCCCCATATGCTTGTAGTAGTATTTCTGTTTGAGCCCTAGCTGTCACTTAATAGTAGCAAGCTTCTGGAGAAATATAAATTAAACTCACTGAATAGAACTAGAAGATTTTTTTCAAGATAAATATATATACTGAGAATTTTTCTGCTGATATAACTAGTCAGAACAGCAGCCTCTAGCTCCCCATAATACAGGGCCTGAAGTGGAGATTGCTGCACTGTGATGGATGGAGTTCAACACAGCTGTGAATAGGATAGAGGTATTTAATCTTGAGCTTCCTTGCAGTACCTTCCTGCAGACTGTCAGTAATAGATGATAAAACTCGCCCATGAGTGGGACATCAGGGACTTTGATCATTCTGCACTCAACCTCTGAGCAGGCTCTTCAGATTTTCCTCATTCTGGAAGTTAAGGCACTTCCAAAGCTAGTCTGGCTTTTCATACTGCTCCTTGAGATTCTCGTCTTCTCTGAATACTCTGTGGTTTTCACTGATGCTTGCATAGCCTTTCTAGTACAAGGCATCTCCTCTGAATGTCCTTCTTTTAAGTCTCTTACCTCTCTTTGTTCATTGTGATTGGAGCAAGATCAGATTCTTTTCTTTCTTTTACACGTCAAAGTCTTCTCTGTAAACTGAACAACAGCAAATTTTTGAGTCTTTTCTCAAGGATCATTCATTCTAGATCTTATTATTCTCTTCTGGACTGTCTTCACTCCCTCCTGTTTTCCAGACTATTTCTCCAGTCTGTCAAGATGAGTTTGGATTAGAATCCTTCTTTCCAGTATGGTTAACAGCCTTTCCCAGTTTAGTGTCAGCTGCACATTTTGTAAGCCTACTCTGTTCCATCAAGATCACTAGTGAAAATAGTGAATAGTACTAAACTCTGTTTACCCCAGTTAGATGCATCTTTTCATTTTATTAGTGAACACATTAAAAATTTCAGCTAGAGCACTCAGTTCACTAAAGTACCTGGGTTGTGTATTCCTAGTATGGCCCTATCCCAGGAAGGGCAACGTTTGGTTTAAGATGACATCAAGAACCATCTTGGATTTATAGCATCAGTTTATGCTTTAACTGAGAAAAAACAAACTCAAATTAAGAGGCAGAAAAAGAAGTTTAACTTTGCAATCAGAATACAGAGGGCAGTAAACATGATCATGAGTGCTTGAAGTGTGAAGCATGAGGACTGCTGTATTATCAGCATACAGCTAGCCAGAGTTCGTCAAGCTTAAATAACTCAGAAATGGAATATCTCTGCAAGAAATCCCTCCAAAGAATGAGGGGAGATTAAAAATTTGACAAAATAATCAGGGAGTTATAGGCCCATCAGTCTTACTTCAGTCCCTGGGAAAGTTATGGAACAAAGCCTTCTGGGGGTTGTTACAAGTCAAATGAAGGACGTGACTGGGAAAAGCCAGCAGGGATTTACCAAGGGCAAATTGTACTTGACAAACATGGTCACCTTCTACAACAAAGCAGATGTTGGGGCGAGCAGTGGGCGCCGTCTGCCTGGATTTCTCCAAGGCTTTCGATACGGTTCCCCACAGCCTCCTCCTGAAGAGTCTGATGTGTTACAGCCCATACAAGGGGTCTGTGGGTGGGTGGGGAACTGGCTGACAGGCCCCACCCAGAGGGTGCTGGAAATGGCTCCTTGTCAAACAGGCAACCTGTCACAAGTGGGGTCCCCCAGGGATCGATATCGGGCCCAGCGCTGTTCAGTATCTTCATAAGCGATCTGGGTGATGGATCGAGTGTGCCCTGATGGCGTTTGCTGACGATGCCAAGCTGAGTGGGGAAGGGGACGCTGTGGAGGGGAGAGCCACCCTGCAGGAAGAGCTGGATAGGCTGGAAGAGGGGGCTAACAAGAACTTTGTGAAGCTCAGCAAAGCCAAGTGTAAGGTCTTGCCCCTGGGAAAACTTAATCCAGGAGTGCAGCAGAGGCTGGGATCCACCTGGCTGGGGAGAAGCTGTGGAAAGGGACCTGGGGGTCCTTGTGGACAACAAGCTCAAGATGAGCGAGCAGTGAGCTGCAGCAGCAAGGAAAGCCAGCGGGGTGCTGGGCTGCATCACCAAGGGCATCCCCAGCAGAGGTAAAGAGTCATTATCCCACTGCACTCGGCGCTTGACAGGCCACACCTGGAAAAGTGTGTTCAGTTTTGGTCCCTGCTGTACAAAAACTGTGGCCAGGCTGGAGAGGGCCCAGAGAAGGGCCACAAAGATCATCAAGGGACGGGGAAGCCTTCCCTGTGAGGAAAGGCTGAGAGAATTGGGTTTGTTCAGCCTTGAGAAGGGAAGGCTTAGGGCAGACCTTACTACCATGTTCCAGTATTTAAAGTGTGGCTACAAAGAAGATGGACACTCCCTTTTTACAAGGAGTCACATGGAAAAGACAAGGGGTAATGGGTACAAGTTACTTCTGGGGAGATTCCGGTTGGACACAAGAGGAAGATTTTTCTCAAGGAGAACAATCAGCCACTGGAATAATCTCCCCAGGGAAGTGGTGGATTCCCCAACATTGGACACTTTCAAGATTCAGCTGGGCAGGGTGCTGGGCCATCTTGTCTAGGACATGTTTTTGCCAAGATATGTTGGACCAGACGATCCTTGAGGTCCCTTCCAGCCTGGTAGTCTATGATAATCCCTGATTTTTCTGTGTTCCAAACCAGCCTGGAAAACTGAGGTGCCAAGAGAAGCTGTGAGACTACAATCAGGCTGTAAGGCAGGGAAAGAAGAGCTTGTGAGTAGGAGAGAAAAGCAGAAAAAGGAAGGTAACTCCAACATCAGACTCCAGTCTCGCGCCTCTGCAGTCAGGGGGAGTTTGTGGGAAAGGTCGTACCTGTGGCTAAAGACGTCCCTTCCTCCCCTATCAGCTGCGATGGGCACATCAAGCTGAGTACAAGTTTTAATAGCAGCTGGGCTCATAATTTGTTTGGAAGGGGGGTTTGGCTCCCACCCTGCATGCTGAAGGCTCTCCATTAAAAAAGGCAAATAAGATCATTTAGTTCAATATAAAATGAATTAAAGTAAATTAAACTGCAGGAGCCATGTGGCCTGCAGAGGCCTCCATTGTTGTACACACATAAATGGCAGCTTTTCATTTTCACTGCTAAGGAATGACAGCTTGAGGGGGGTGGAATTAAAAATAAGGAAATAAATAATAAGACGCAGTTGCCAAAGATTTCGTCTGGGAAATCCCAGGTGCTTGCAAGTCTCCCATCCCCTCCTCATGCTGTTGTCAGCAATCGAAGCTGGTGTCCTGGAGAAGGGAGTGAAGCATGGCAGGGGAGAAAGAAAACCAAACCAGAAGAACTGTAAGAAACTGG